GTTGTAAGGTGTGGTGTGGTGACTGGATGACTCTTCTGGAGAKAGATGTATTTCATTCTCTTGCCATGTGTGCCATGGTCATGCTGTGCAATACATGTAAGGGCCTGACTCATCACAGGAGCAGCAGGAGAGCTGGGCTGCCCAAAGGACAGTTACTACTGTTAGTGAGAATGAGCAAAAGGTCCTCCTAGCTAGAAATATCTCAGTACAGAAAATTTAAAAGTCAAACTGCGACTAGCACTGTGATAGTACTCACTAGAAAAAGAAATAGAAATCAGACACGATAAAGGCTAGGGTGTAGGTTACTGCCTAAGCTGGCACACCTAAGCCATTCATGCCTGTAGACTCCCCCAGTTCACAGGCACTCTTTTGTCTGTCAGTGAAGAAATAAAGGTGCCAGCTTTGGGTGAAAGAGTTCAGCTGCCCAAGGAGGCAGAGGCTTCTTGAATGAAGAGTTGATCAGAATCACTCATCACTGCTATGAAACACTAATATAGCTTATTTTTTTTAAGTAGTTAATGTATTGTCTGGACATGTTTTGAAACTGTCTCATACTCTCACAGAACACAACGAGCTTCAGATTGTATATTCGATATTTCCAAATATTTTTAAAATTAATATTTGTGTTTCTATAATATGTATGTTCATATCTGTATATGTTAGTATAAGTTCAAAGAAATTTTCAAAGTTATTTCAAGTGGCATAATTTTGTTTTACTGTGCTATTGCTTGAAATATTCATGCCATTTTGCACGATGGGTTGCATAGGGAGAAGAGGCATTTTGGATCCTCTTTTTTTGTGTAACACTTCTCAGCTTTGCAGCCACACTGGAACTAATTACCTGAGATTATAAGATTAMATTTTGCATATTCATATTCTTGGGAAGAAGGGGAGGTCATCAGGATGATGATAAATTCTGTTTATAGTGAGAACAAGCAATTGTACACCAATATAAATGGACTAAGCCACAGTTCTGAGTGAAAGTTTCAGTTGCAGCTGGAGACACTTTTGAATTAGATAAAATATGCAAGAAAATAAATCTTTTKAAGATTAAGCATGAGCTACTACAATATTATTTCCTGAATATTCAGACAAAATTAAAATATTATTTTCTCTAAAATTAGGAAATGGTAATATATTTRYATTTAATTGACTAATCATGTTATTTCTAYGAAAAACTAACCAGCAGTACTGTAGATGCCTTTGTCTAGCCTAAAAATCAACCAAAAAAATTAAACTAGTGATTAAATCTCTTTCATTTATGCTCAAAACTAGTTCTTCACCTTTGTAATACCCTGCCACTGTTTCATTCTTTTCCTGGTCACTGCAAGCAGTTAGAAATGTTCTCATCCAGCAATGACAAGAACATTTGGACATCTATTTCTCTCTTCAATCTGTTCCGTTCTTCTATTTTCCTATTACTTTGTCCCTGGATTATTTCTTATCTCTTTATTCATTTCAAATATAGTCATAGGCTTTGAGATCCTTGGGSTCCTCCTCATCAGTGTTTTTTCTCAATTTTTTTTCTTAGCAATGCAATAAATGGTTAGTTTATATTAGCAGAAGACAAAACTACAACAGAAAAACAGTGAAGAAAAAATCAACAGCATGAATTTGTCCTGACATTGCATATGAAGAGAGAGAGAAGAAAATGGCATCAGATACTGAAATACCACAGATGAGATTTAGGCAGAAAAATGGCTTAATAATCTGCCTCCTGAAAATACTATTTCTTCCTCATTTAAAGTTGATATATAATGTTTCCATACTATCTTCCTATTCCAAAATGGAAGGAAATGTTCAATTTTACTTTAGAATCAGGAGTTCATTCTTTACTAAATTTGCTGCTACCTGTTTGTCTGGTAGCATTTCAMGGCATATATTAATTTTAAAATGATATCTCTGTTTTAATATTTAAGAAGTAAAATAGCATTAAAGAGCTTAACAAGGCAATTAAGAGAACTCTAAGTGCCATCTTTCCATTTGACTCCTGTTTCAGAAGTAATGACTGAATAGCAGTAATTATGGAGGATATTGAGTAAAAAAAATAGTTAATAGGACAAATAGGAAACTCTTGATTTTCCAGCAACTGCACAGGTGACCTTGGATCCATCACTGACTCAATGTGCACCCCTTCCTCTGCTTGTAACCCAGGCTCTCCAGGGCAGGCACTGCTTTCTGCTCCATCTTATGGCTGCAATGCTTCTCTGMCACACTGGATCCAGGTGGTCACTAAGGATGGACCATACAATTTGCAATGTCTGAGTTTMCTGAGACCAAGCAACACAGAGCAGTCGGAAACAATGATTTACTAGATACCAGTTTTTCTAACTTGATAAGGTAACTGAAGAAGTAYAGACAAGGACATCCAATGCATTAGCTGTTTTGGTCAGAGATAAAATAATGTCACCACTTAGTGACAAATGCCATAKGAACACTGCAAGTGCACTTCTAATAGTCTTGCTTTATGTAGGCTTGTAGTTAAAATAAACTGGGATTTACAATTTTAATGCAAATTATTTTGCTCTGAAAAAATGTAACTTATTATTTCTGTTATGAGGCAATAACCAAATCAAACATAAGTGTTTAAACTCTCATTCTAGCCACTAAATACCTGATTATTGCTTCACAAAGTCACCTGAATATCCTAATCTCATACAACCACCTTGTTGTTCAAGTAGTTAGTAAGCTCTAGGCAAATTCTACACCTCAGCTAAAGAAAAGTATGTGGCAATGTTAAGATTCACAGCTGAGTGTCTCAGATGCTGGCATACTCAAAGCATATTCCATTTGCTAAGATTTGAGACAAAATTTTCAGGCCATRCACCTAGAGCCTGGAGAAATGCAGACTAAGGGTTTTCTGGAATTCTGTTAGGAGATGTATGGACTGCAGTGCTGGGTCTACAGCTAGCTAGGTTTGTTTTCAACAGTTTAGTCTCACTGTAGGCAAGAGTATAAATAAAGTCAAAATACATCACTGAAGTGAGAAATAACTGGGGTAGAGTTTCTGCAGTTTTCAACGCATTTGATGCTTACAAAACCACATCAGTGATCCTGCATAATTTTTAGTATACATGTGTAATACAAAAAGTCACCCAAARAGTTCACTTTTGTTTTTATGGCAAATGTCTTTCAAAAATGTTTGATATATAATGAAACCATAAATAGAGCTAAAATTAGAGGTCTGATAGAATGTGGCTGTTCAGGAATGAGGAATCCCAAATATTTCAGACTTTCTGACTCTTCTAAAAATTAACAATACTGTGGTAAAATGATTCAAACGACATGCCACCAAAACCAGTTTCAATTTCTGCAGAGAGCATCAGTTGTTTGTAACTACAGAAAAGCCTTTTTAAAAAAATTGAAATTACATATATTTAYAACCTTGTTCACAATTTTTAAAAAGAAGGACCCTCCCTGCCACAGAATGTTTTATAGAAAGGGCTAAATAACAGGAGAGAAAAGCAATTATTGAGTTTGTGGATACAGATTTTAAAACATTTGTTGTTGATTCAAAATTAAATGTTTGTGTTTTCTTTTATTTTGTAAGAAATCAGTAAATCTTTTATAGTTCTTCCCCAAGTAAAATCTCCGTTCTCCCATTCTACCTGTCAAAAATTTCTCTCTTATGTGGGAAGAAACCCAAATATATCAAATAAGTCAAACTCTAAGTGTCAAAGAAATCTGTTGTCAGGATTGGAAACTTTAGGTTTGAAAACATTTAAAAGACACTCTTGAAAAATTAAACAGACACACTGCAAGACCTTCATGAAGCCCAGGTACTCCTGCTTTCAGTGGAGGGAAACGACGTCTGTACAGTTCAGATGAACTGTAAATATTCTAGCAATGTTTAGAAATGTCTGGATATGCACTAGAGGAATCAGGGTTTTTACACAGAGCAGTAAGCATGAGTGAGCCAGGAAATACACAGCATTCCCGAACGTAACTCATGTTTCAACACTGACCATTCCTGGAAGAATTGGATTTTCCTCATGGCAAGTGTGCCACATCTGTAAAGCCTCACCATGGTCCTTAGCACAGGCCTTGAGATCCCCACTGAGTTACTGCATTAGCTCAAGATCAGCTAAATCTTGGAACTAATACTGGCAGGATCTCCARAAACAGATTCTGAGAAAATGATTTTAAGGCTATGTGATTAGCAGATMAATTGCTTAATTTATTTCCTGAAATGCAACATCATCACACCATCTGTGTAACCATCTATGTTTTCTCTGTGTAAAGTGGAATGCCATTATGATACAGCTAGGAGATTGCTTGTGCTGTTTACCTAGCAAAGAAATGTTATTTCAAATGGTATACATTTAATTTTGTTTTCTTCTCAAAGTAATGCCACACATCACATTAATATTTTCTTTTTTTTTTTTTTTTTTTTTTTTTTTTNTATGCATAAACATAAAACAAAGTCTTTTGCCAAAAGGAGACTTTTGGTGGGAAAAAAAAGGGAAAAATTAAATGTAAAATTTCTAGGCATATCACAGAATCGCCATGGAAAAAAATGGAATTTAAAGTCTGTTTTTCCAGCTTTTTGTTTAGCTCTGTAAACAGAAAGTATATTTTGATCTGCAGAGATCCTTTGTGTTTTGTAGATTTATTTAAAACTTCCTCCCCCATCCACATTTGCTCTTCTCACCATCTTCAGTGTAGAGGAGAAGGAAAAAAGAGCATGTGAGAAGAAACWGATAGAGGTGGTCACTGTCTGAGTGCCAGCCTCAGCTCAGTCATCAGCTCGGGCTGGACACGGTGATTTGGTTGGAGGAACTGCAGGAACAGAGCCCATCTTGTCTCACTTGTCTCACAGCCACGGCCTGTCTCACTCACAGGCCCTTGARACAAGGAAGAAAGCTTTCTGACAGGTGCATTGCTTTAGAAACGCTGGGCTCAGATTTCCCATGCTTTCTCCCACAACCTCCAGGGCTGACCACCTGKGTTAGGTGGAGGTTTGGTCACCTGAGCCCCTATAGAAATGTCCAAGCTCCTACCTTGACGGCGCAGGGCAGCGCCAGGCTGATGGTGGATCCCCCGCTGTCCGTCCCCTGTGCGCTCAGGTCTGGTGGCTGGCAGCTGGCTCAGGCCCCGAGCGCTGCTGGACCTAAAACAAAAATCTCCAAAGGGGTAAAGCATGGGCTTGTGGCGTGTTTGCACGAGTTCAAGGGTTCCTGACCAGAGCTGGTCTGCACCTGCCTGGCCAGAGCAGGGGTGAGGGAGATATGCCCTATCTGCCTCCGCCTGTGTCAACATGTCCCCGGCACGGCCTTGGWGCGGGGACTGCTTACACAGTGTGACACCGAGCGATTAATTCATCTGAGAGGCCCTTTCTTTGGTTGCTTCTATTTTGTTATGACGGYTTAAAAAAGAAGAAGTTATTTCTCTCCCAGGATTTATGAACTTCATCATCTTTGCAGTCAGTGCTTGAATACTCTCTCAATGACATCAGGATTTTATCTGTTGCAAGTGGAGCTCTTRCCTATGCAAAGAGGCTGGCCCAAAGGCCCATTACAAAAAAATACATTATTTGGAAAGGGTTTGTCAGTAGGGACAAAGTTTGTTTTGGTTAGTTTTGCACGCCAGACAAAGGCTTTAGTGGTCTGTTAAAATAGAAGTCTCACCTTGCAAAGTTTAACATTTTCACACCCCTGAGAAATCTGAGATGCTAAGAGTTAGGCAACAAAGTAAATGGCTTTGTTGAACAAACATGGGCCAGATCTGCCATTTCAGGGATACCTAGATGTATGTCAGTTGCTCATGAGGCTATCTTCATATTTATACTCTCTTTATTCCTTGCATTTGATTTCTTGCTTTGAAACAAAATGGATCTTTTTCAGAAGATGGATCTTAAATGCTGGTTAATTAATTGGAAAAGTAATTTTGAAGTAAATGGTATACATGTATATTAAGCACTTGTACTGACAAGGGAAGGCTCATTCTTTGATTGAAGTCCAATAATTTTATACTTGTGCTACTCTATCACAAAAAAATTGATACTTTGAAAGTACTAAGACTGGGTATCTCCCTAATGCTTGGATAAGAAARGAAAAAGAAAAGCAGAATTGATCTTCTGAAAATGCAAAGTCCATTGGGCATGAAAATTTCCAAAGGTGTGTTTTCTCAAGTTCTGACGATGCAGGGACCACAGGTTCAGGTGATGCTAACCTCCATGAAGTGGCAGAGGAGAATTTGATCCTGATCCAAGCTGCTGTCAGAACACTGTTAATTCACACAGTTTTTTAACTTTTGGGCTATGAATATAGAATCATAAGATKATAAAAATATTAAAATAGGATATCAAAGTACTGGTAGCATTCTTTAATATCTCCCGCTCCTTGTCTTTTTCTGGTTTCATTATTTGATTAAATTCTTTCCCCTCTTGTTGCTGAATTTTTAAAACTTTACCTAGTTTCTGAAATGGCTTGAGCTTTAAGAGAGAACGGACTTGGACATATCTTAGATGATATATCTTGAACATGGAGAAAAAAACTCCCACTTTTTTCTTCCTTCAAGTGTTGCTGCACATATACACATCTAACACTGTGGGCCCAACCCAAGACTGTTACCCAACAGAGATCTTAGGACCCGAAAGGCAGCCTTCCTGTTAGGACAGACTATCTTCCTTTATAACTGAGAGGAGTGTTTTGAAGCATGTTTTGGTTTTGATTTCATGAACRCTGTCACATCTGAGTTATATGCTGATTTTTAAAAACAATAGTAAACAACTCAATGATACCTGTTTTCAACCTAGAGCAATAAGATTCTTGTAACATCTACATTTTTTCAGAGAAGCATAAACATTCATTGAAAATATTCTCCACTGATGCAATATTACTTCGAGCACAGCCTTCACTGAATGTTACTGGGTTGTTGCTAAGAAACACTGATATATGACACCAAATTATATTACTGACATTGAATTTTTACTCCTTTTCATGTTATAGCTTGCTTGAAAACAGCTGCAATTATACTGCAAATGGAAGGAAATCTACCAGCCTCTATTCAGTGTCTTTTGTATTTTAGTTACAGGCTGAAGTCCTTATCTTTTTAATATATGTCTATTACAGTATTTCAGTTAAATASTATAATACCAACATTATTGATGGTCTGCATCTGTATCTCCTATACAGCCATCACGACAATAAAACAAATGTTCTCTTTGATTTTCACCAATATATGCCAAATTGCAGGAAGATTGGTCTTAGCGTTTCTATATTTTCCATGTTAATGTGACAATCCATTTTGACCTGCAGGTAATAAAATAAGAAGCGTTCAAACTCATAGCTAAGGTTTTCAGAGCACTTCAATTTTTGTTTGTTTTGATCTATGCGATTGACTGTTAGAAAGCTGAAAATGAATAGATGTTTTTTTAACATGTATTTTTGATCTTTATTCTTTTGTAYAGCACATGGATATTTTTCTGCTAAAAGAGCCATTCATCCAGTAGTTGATGTATGGCAAGTACACACAGCTTTTTCGTGGGAAAGTATATATTCATTTATCGAACATAGCTGTTGGATTATTTTTTTAATATTAAAACAGAGCCGCAGAGCCCAGAACATCCATATCTGAAACTGGGATCTCACTAGTACTACGGAAATATACAAGCGGAGAAAAGAGCCCTTCCTGTAGGGCTTAAAYCTCAAATAGTCAAAATGGACAAATGCTAGGACAAGTAGCACTATATTCATGAAGGTTTTGCAAAAGGACTAACAATTTGAGCCATGTTTGCATGYGTAACCTTTAAGCAGCTTGTCTGTCTTTTCTGTACCATGGCTGGTGGGGTCCATCTATCAGAGAAGRGGAAGAGGAGTCATGGGCTTGGCAAATTGATGAAGAGGGCTTTAAACTAAAGATGCCAGGGGAAGGAAGGCTCAATCCATTCAAATCCKGCTGCTTTCCATTTTGGTACCAGGACCGAAAAGAGAAGCCCAGAGCCTGGAGAAGGATCCCAGGTCAGCAGAAGAGCAGGACAAAGGAATTCCAGCCACTCCAGACAGTAAGCTGGTTTCACTGGGTCCAGCTTCTATGGGAATGCACTCAGCATGGGGAATAAACAAGAGTGAGACAGCTCACATCTAMAGGGTTACGGCGTTATCGGCTTCATGGAGGTGTGATGGAATGGCTACTATGGCTGGAGTGTCGGAATAGATGGATACAGACTCTTTAGAAAGRACAGGGAGATGAGGAGCACATGTCGCTCTCCATGGCAGTGACCAGCAGGGAGGCATTGGATCTCCACCTGGAGATGGGTCAGGAGCCAACACATGTCATACAGTAACTACTAAAATACATGGAGAGTGGGAAAAGTAATCACACCACTCTATTGGGAAARAACAAGCAATTTGCAGGACAGGAAACAACAATGAAACATGCACACATGCAAAGATTGAAAGAAACCAGTGCAGTAAATGGAACTACATGTCAGTTGGCCAAATATGAGGAAAAAGATACAGAAGGATGGTTGGCATYGGAAGAAAGATGCAAGAAATGCAGATGGCTATCTCATACTTCAGGAAAGCAGTCCGCACTTTCTGTGGGATGCAAAGACCAAGACAATGATGCAGATCCACTCACTTACCCAATCTGTGGGAGGAAAGGGACTGCCTTGCAGTGAAGGGAAAATGGATGATCAGGATAAAAGCTACCAGTAGAACAGCACAAAAAGGAATCTTTCCATTAACATGCCTGAAGAAAGGTTGTGGAAGCTGTAACAGAAAAAAAGGAAAACTCACTTTATAGTGACAATCTGAACCTTTCTTCAAAGTACAGATAAACAAAAAATGGAAAAAAGGAACAAAAAAGGCTGAAAATCTACACTTCATCAGCTTTGTGAATACTAAGCTGAAGAGTTCTAGGATTTTTTTCTAGAGTAGGGAAACACCCATTGGATCAAAGGATAAAACTAAAGGAATTTAACTCCTCCACCATGACTTCTGGGAAATACTCTAAAAGTTAAACAGCAGGAGCAAGTAAACTCATCGTGTTTGCCGTCATGAAGCAATAAACCCAGAACATGCCAAAAAAATAAGAGTGAGCCATAATAACATCTAAATACCAGATTATCAGATCATGAAACATGTCATGTGATACATCCATTCACTTTTTAGACAACAGCATATCACTGTATTTTCAAACTGAAATCGGTCACAATGTCTTTTATCCCCTCTTTCCTGAAATCTTGTTTCCCTTCTTCTGCTTCCTATTGCAAAGATTTCTGCATACCACTGTGGTTCCTACCTCCTATTTCTYTGTCTGAGTGCTGAAAGGCCGCACAAACATTTCAGCCTTTGTCATAACCTGAAATACGCCCTGTGTTCCCCTCAGCTGTAGGTCTTGCTGCTGAGAATACACATATCTTTTGGTTTGCAACATCATCATTGGGGCCATGTATGACTCCTGGCAAGGAATTGCTTGTATTGTGATTGCCGGCTGCACAGTGGGGAGGTAAGAGACTTCTGAAGTTTATGGAGATTCTTTTGCCTAGAAAAATTAGAAGAAAGGTACAAAGACAAGCTGGACTGATATACTCCATTTGCATTTTGTCCTGTTTTATAATTACTTCCCTGACTTCAATTTTTCATGACTAAAAATTACTTCAAAAACATAATATGTATTGTTTTTCTTCTTGCCCYGACATAAACACTACATTTTTCAAACAACCTTGGGTTTAAAATATTTATTAAGGCCTGCAGGAACTAGGGGTTTCACTTGATATGAAAGTAAGGTCTAGTAGATTTGAAATAAGCATATTAATGCAGAGTAATGGAGCTACAGAAAGATTTTAATTTTCTCCCACCTGAAGAAGATGTTGCAGACTGGCAGCCTTTAGACAAATCTGCAATTGCTCCAGAGCTTGGACAGGAAGATTTTTATCCCATTCACTTAACCTGAGACATTCTCGTTTGGAGCGCCTTCGACATTTCAGACAACTTGCTTTTAATATGCACTAAACAGTATTTCTTATTAAAGATTCTTTCCATCTAAGGAAAAAAGGACTTACGGTTTTAGTCCAAAAAGACAACCTTGATAATTTGTATCATCAAGTACTATTTAATTGCTGCTCCTCTTCCATATCTGCAGGTTTATCCTTGTATTTTCTGATAAAATAAAAAGAGGGTATGTCTGTATTTTACCACTGAAAAATCTTCAGCTGTTACCTTGTCGATTAAAAGACTTGCGATTTCTTATGGAAG